ATCAGTTTTTAAATTCAGTTATTTTTTATTATATCATTTTTATAAATATTAAACATTGTATCACATCATTGACTCCAATCTTTGCATATTATTCAAGCAAAAATAAAATTAGCCCTGTACCATCCATGGATAAGTAAGTATTTTTTTCGTATATTCTGGTAGTAGAATGTTTGTTTATATTTATTAGTTCATTAACTGGCCCCTCTTTTAACAATGTTTGTTTTAGTAAAAAAGAAAGTTGTATAGTGCTTCTTGAGGCCAGCACTGTGTAATGAAAACTATAAATATGGACAGTAGGTTTAATACCAACTTCAAATAAACTATATTATGTTTGCACAATACAACATAATCAGTGCCTTAAAAGGAAACTTGCCAAAATCCATTGAAAGGGTAAATAAAACAAAACAATTAAGACTAAAAGTTTACTCCGTAATGACATGTGGAAGAGAACTTCTCAGCACTTGGTAAGATCACAGATTTAGTGAGGAATCAATTTAAAGAACAATTAAATAATTTGATGTTGATCACAATAAAAGACTGACTTGATTTAGGAATGTTATAGGTAAAATTTAAAGAAGAAAGAAACTATTGCATAGTTGAAAATGAGATGAACAAGTATTCAAGACCTACTCATCATCAATGGCTTAAGGAAATTACTCGCTTCACTCAAGACTTAACATCAAGCTTTACTTGTCTCTATGTCCTTTCCATTCCTTTCGTAACAGCACACCTTTGGTATAACACGATTGTGAGATTTTGGTGAAATATTCGAAGAAAAAGATGAAGTTACTTTTGTAATAATCATATCTTTAGGTGATCATGCCTGTACTAGCTTTCATATTTCACAGTTAGTGTTACATTTTACATAAATAGTGAATGTCTTTGGATTTATCACAATACCAATTATCTGCGACATATTAATTCAACCAGTCTTAAAATTGGGAAACGGTATACAGGCAGGAATTCGTGATTTGACCCCTATGCACTATTCCCCGCATTTCATTGAGAGCGACTGTTGACAAATTGCACACAGACTATGTCCTACACTAATCATACTACTACTCAGCATCTGCCAACAATGGCTCATGATTATACTTTAACACTAGTGCATAAGGGTAAACAAATCAAATTAATATTCAAAAAGACCTATTTTACCAGTATATTTGATTATTATATTAAGGTAAAGATTTTCATTTGCTCAATTTTCCTGCACAATTTCACGTGAATACCCAACATGGATTAATCTTTGGGAAGCCCAGATGTTGTGCATTGTAACTTTACTTCTTATGCAGAAACATTCTTGTCAATTCCATTTCTTGTCAGCAACTAAATCTCACATTTAGCATCCACTGGAATTTGTAAGTTTCTGCCATCACTACTGGAGATACTATCCATTAAGTTAAAACTGTAAATTCCATATGCATGGAACGTCATATCATTCTCCTGCAAAAAGCACTGCATCTGGGTGGCCCGAAGACAGAACCCTGAAACTGCACTGGGACGAGCAAAACACTAATGAATCTCCTTAATGTATGGTGGTGAGTAGAACGATAGTCTCATACTTGGCACTTTGGGGGGAGACAGCGTAAGACGCCACCAAATAATTCAGCCTAACACTTTCTACCTCATCCAAATAAATGTCAACTTCCAAAACTAACTTCATCTTTCCATAATTCAAATTTCAGATGCAAATCTGCAACTGCATTTAAGTGCTAATAAGAAAGTATACCCTTTAATAGCCGTCAACAATAGCCTTTAACAATCCCTTCATCCTCCGTGGACCTATTCAATTCAAGCTGTTCTGCATATTCCCTAGACCAATAATTTTATATAAGGGTAACAAATTGCCTTATATGAGTAGATCTTTCAGGAGAAACCAATACTATGGGTGAAATAAGAAGCTACAATTACTACATTACTGATATGTCCAAACTGCACATACCTATCTACTGATGCCATACAAGAAAAGTAACTGTGGGAAAACAACATAAATACATTTAATTTATTGAAATCTAAATAGATATATTAACCTTAAAAAAGATTTTTTCTTCCTATATAGCATATGACTGAAGCACATTGGGACACTAAGCTTATGATGGGGGCTTTACCATTTGCAGGTTGTGGCTGTAAAGACTAAAGATAAAGGGTTTCAAAAAATCTACACATGAAGTTCAAAGAATCCTTATTTTAAGGTACACAGACACATTAAATATTCTATATTCCATACATAAATAACTATTTGACTGGAATGACTTAGGTTGGCAACCAGGTCGACATCCATTCATTGTCCAAAGTCGTTCACAGTGGAAGACCAGCAACAGAGCAGTCTTACAGCCATTCACTTTCTTGACCTTTTGCCTTTGATGTTTTGTGTTAGTTCTGAATATTGTTTTGATGTATCATATGGATACACATATGCAGGTATAACGCCTGCACAAGCACAATTCATCAGGTATTGTTTCTATGTCTTTCACAGGTACATAAGGCAAGGTAACAACAACAGTATGAGCACCTTCCTCTGGTAGTGGTAAGAAAGTCCAAATCGCAGGTAATCTAAGCACCAACAAGATGCTGCACTCGTTTCCATGAAGTAATGAAGACTTGGCAAACACAGTCTGGAGATGTTTTCCTAATCTCTTGAACATATATAAATAAATACTGTTCACATGTATAGTTTCCACTGATATACATTCATATATGCAAATATATATAATATGTAAACATATATATGTATATATTGTGTATGTTAAATATATATATATGTAAATATATAAATATATATATATGAATATATATTTAACACACACACACAAAAACACACATACAAACACAAACACACACACACACACACACACACACACACACACACACACACACACACACACACACACACACACACACACACACACACACACACACACACAATGTGTGATCATGCACGCATGCATGCATGCATACACACACACACACACACACACACACACACACACACACACACACACACACACACACACACACACACACACACAAATATATATATAATTTATGTATTCACATTCAGACTTTCCTCTGAAAGGGTTTTCTTCTCATTACATGATTACAGATGATGATTTAAGTGGGTTTGGGGAAATAAACATGTGTGATGAGATCCTCCAGTCTGACTGATGCCAAACTTCGCTGGAAGGTGGGTTTCAGGCTCCAAGGTTGTGTTTAAAGCTTGGATCATACGGTTGTCTCCAAATCCTCATGCACCATTGTCTGAAACTGCTCCTGGCCTGAAAGAGAATGATTGTTAAGTTAAAGGTCTCTCCGAGGAAGAGATTTTATAGTCTTTGACATTAATAAGACACTATCTTATACTTGAAGCAGGAACGAAAGCAGCACATGAATGTACAATTGCAATGATGAATGCATGTGGCATAATTCGAAAAAAAATTAAAGAATGCATATCATGACATAAGCAGTAAAGCCCACTTCTATAACTGAAAGCAATATCTTTTTCACACATTATAAAAGTATATTCTAATATTGAACAGTTTCTAACTAAGAAAAAAGTCATGCATGGGAATAAATGAGTCTTCCAACAAAATGTAAAGCTTGTTGTTTGTATCTTTACTGAAATCCATGCTTGGATAAAGGTAAAGAAGAAGGTGAACTCTGTCGTTTTCAAGTTCTGAGATGATAATCCTGAATGGAACATCTCTATGGGTTTTAAATGGATTTAAAAAACTCTAAAATCTACTAAAATCTCTACTATGTAGGGTGATTTCAATTGGATTGGGTGTAAGAAATACCAAAGTCTATAGGAAATCAAGAATCGGGTATATGTCTAAAATGCTTCAAGGGAAAAAGGGCAACTTTAGTGTTGTTCATACGTACAGAACAGAGCCAGAGCAGAATCCTTGGCATAGAGCGTGCAAGAAACAGCGAGGTGATGTGTAATCCACTCTGTTGACACACTACCTACACAATACACTCTATGTTTTGGACAGGCCTTTCAATCTAAGGCAAATTAATTAACTACAAATGTTAAAGACTTTTTGGCTGCAGAAGCTCTGATGAGTCTCAATGATTCCCATCCAAAACACTGTCTTACAAGAATAATAATGTCTGTACCATGACAAGTTAATTTTAATTATTAATATTACATATAGTAAATAATATGTCCATAAAATATATAAAGGTAAATGTAAATATCTGCCTAATTCAATACATCATTACCTATTTATTCTGAATCATCTACCGTACTCTAAAATGACAACTGCGTAACTTCAAAAATGACGTTATCACTCTCTCAAGTCACCTGTCATGGCACAGTGATCCATCATTATGTAGCCTTTTATATCTAGTAGGCTACTTTGATAGGATAAAAATTGTATTTTTTCATCATTGGCAGGTACAAGAAAGTCCGTTACTAATGCCACAATGACTATAGAATTACAAACATATTAATATGTACTTTTTATAAACAATTTTAAAAATTGGGTGGATGTGCATATAAAACTTTTTACTTAATACTACAGTAAATACTGCTAAAATTAAGTAGCTTACGTGTGAACTAAACTGGCAAAGAAGCAGTGCAACTTGTGATTCATCGACAATATACCTAAGATTTGTATCTACAATCTTCCATATACAACAACCTGGGACCTGATAAAACAGGTGCCACCCACCGTTACTAGTTATCTTTTATTATTATCTTTTTTTTTGTGTTGGTAGATTAGTCAACGTAATTGAGTTTATTATTGTTGGGTTGAGAGAATTTCTCTTGGCCTGAAAAAACAATAAAACAATGGAATCCACAGGAAATATACGAAAAAAAATATTAAGAATACATAATGATATATCCTTTCTCATGTGTCTAATAAATAAAGCATGTCTTAGGCTACTATCTACAATCTCTTTCAGAATAAAAAAGGTAAAGGTTTTAAATACACAAATAATATTGAGAAGTATTCTTCCCTTGCGTCATCACCTATATATTTCCTATTGCATAACACCCAAAATCTATAATAATTATTACACATCTAACAAAATGGATAAAATTCAAGAATCTGAAAGAGCCTTGTCATATGAAGGCTCGTCACCCTGGTATTTGTCAAGAGTATTATTTAATTCATAATCTTATGTTAGTTGCATTTATCAAAAGGCTAAGTTGGCATTCCAAGAGTGCGCAGGCAGGGTTATGAAACAAGCATGCACATCTGTTTCCATGGGTTGTTAACTGAACCTGCACTAGGGAAATACCTAAATGATCCAAAAAATTTTTTTGCTTTCTTGTCATAAATTTTTTTTCTCCATATTCTGAGGTCTGACTATGGTTTCCATAAGTAACAGAAGCTTAGGGGAAGGGAGGGGGGCACTTATGGAAGACAACACTTAAAGTTTGCCTACAAACAGTGTCATAAACTTAGAAAGGCCTCTTGTCCTTAACAAAATGTATCCATAACTCGTGGGGCTGAGGTTACCCTCTTCACGAGGACGGTGCACACAACTCTGTGAGCAGCATGAGCTTTCTTTTATACAACTAAATGGCATCCCAGCCTTGATAAAAAAGCTCACCATATATTTCTGAGGTCAAAAAGAAATACCTCACTCATTACAACAAAACAACTGTGTACTATATGAGCCTCTCTACTCGAAGTCTTTTAGCGAGTGCGTGGTGACGTGCACCCCTGAGTGAGTGGGAATAGGATGCGTGACATGGAAGGGATGACCGATCCTCTTCCTCAGGCATGGATGCTCCGAGACCCATGAGCTGGCACTTACTCTCCAGATATGCAGCCAGTTCTTGGTCATCAGCTCGCTGGGCCAGAGCACGAGGTGTGTTGCCCTGGAGGTCCCGGATAGTTAGGGAAGCCCCAGCAGCAACGAGCATGCAACATACTGTCCGTCTCCTGTTGGAGGCTGCCTGGTGCAGTGCTGTCTGGCCTCTGAAATGTTCACCCTCGGTTTACTTCACTATTACTAATAACTTTAATAAGATGCAGTCATGCACATTTCCTACAAAAAACGTCTTGGTAAGTTATAAATATCTGCATGCTTCATCAAAATCATCTTCATTTAGACCCTAAAGTCAATGACCTAGAATCAAACCCAAATCTATTTATGAGAACTTAAATAAAATTTTTAAAAGCAATCAGACTTACTTTTCCGTGTCCACCATATCAAGGATAGAAGGCGGGGCTGATGCAATCAAATAGCGCACAATGTCTTTGTGTCCATGACGGGCACCAAAGTGAAGTGCTGTCTGGCCATGTGCATCAATAGATAGCAGTGAGAAACCTTGCGAATGAAGATCCTTCAACTGAAATACAGAAAAAAAGGTTAGCAACTAAAATATTTCAGCATCAGCTCTTTGTCGGGTAGCCCTATTTAGCACTGATATACTGTTATACAAATCCTAACGCATTCTTAGTATTTGACAAAGACTTTGGCTGACAGGTTGGCAATCAGAAGACCAATTATAATTTAACTGAATTGTGATGTAAAGGCTGCAATAAATATCATATAAATATCTCATCAAATCACTGATTATGGACCATCTGTTAAAACACAGAACATCTCACCATCTTCAGGTCTCCTTGCTTGGCTGCCTTTATGATTCCATCAGAGTTCTTCTCGAGCAGGTGGCTGAGGAAGAAGGATGAGTAAGTTAGGACTAAGTACCTTTATGTGAAAAGCATTTGGTAAAAAATGTATTCTGATTTAGTCTCATGATCCAGGACAAATTTGACAGACAGACAGACAGACAGACAGACAGACAGACAGACAGACAGACAGACAGACAGACAGACAGACAGACAGACAGACAGACAGACAGACAGACAGACAGACAGACAGACAGACAGACAGACAGACAGACAGACAGACAGACAGACAGACAGACAGACAGACAGACAGACAGACAGACAGACAGACAGACAGACAGACAGACAGACAGACAGACAGACAGACAGACAGACAGACAGACAGACAGACAGACAGACAGACAGACAGACAGACAGACAGACAGACAGACAGACAGACAGACAGACAGACAGACAGACAGACAGACAGACAGACAGACAGACAGACAGACAGACAGACAGACAGACAGACAGACAGACAGACAGACAGACAGACAGACAGACAGACAGACAGACAGACAGACAGACAGACAGACAGACAGACAGACAGACAGACAGACAGACAGACAGACAGACAGACAGACAGACAGACAGACAGACAGACAGACAGACAGACAGACAGACAGACAGACAGACAGACAGACAGACAGACAGACAGACAGACAGACAGACAGACAGACAGACAGACAGACAGACAGACAGACAGACAGACAGACAGACAGACAGACAGACAGACAGACAGACAGACAGACAGACAGACAGACAGACAGACAGACAGACAGACAGACAGACAGACAGACAGACAGACAGACAGACAGACAGACAGACAGACAGACAGACAGACAGACAGACAGACAGACAGACAGACAGACAGACAGACAGACAGACAGACAGACAGACAGACAGACAGACAGACAGACAGACAGACAGACAGACAGACAGACAGACAGACAGACAGACAGACAGACAGACAGACAGACAGACAGACAGACAGACAGACAGACAGACAGACAGACAGACAGACAGACAGACAGACAGACAGACAGACAGACAGACAGACAGACAGACAGACAGACAGACAGACAGACAGACAGACAGACAGACAGACAGACAGACAGACAGACAGACAGACAGACAGACAGACAGACAGACAGACAGACAGACAGACAGACAGACAGACAGACAGACAGACAGACAGACAGACAGACAGACAGACAGACAGACAGACAGACAGACAGACAGACAGACAGACAGACAGACAGACAGACAGACAGACAGACAGACAGACAGACAGACAGACAGACAGACAGACAGACAGACAGACAGACAGACAGACAGACAGACAGACAGACAGACAGACAGACAGACAGACAGACAGACAGACAGACAGACAGACAGACAGACAGACAGACAGACAGACAGACAGACAGACAGACAGACAGACAGACAGACAGACAGACAGACAGACAGACAGACAGACAGACAGACAGACAGACAGACAGACAGACAGACAGACAGACAGACAGACAGACAGACAGACAGACAGACAGACAGACAGAAACACACACACACACACACAGACAGACACTGACACAGACACAGACACAGACACACACACACACACACACACACACACTCTCACTTATAAACCGACATTTATTCTTATGTACACAGAAACTTATTAGTAAACATATTTACACATGCATACAGTGAAACATGTTAAGCATTAGCAAAACAGACGGCTCTATGCACACATGCACACAATGGCAAATAAAATCACAAAGTACATATATAGTCCAAATATTCTATATGCTTTAAGTTCTGAAATTATTCACACAGAAGATATATTACTCAATAAATCCAACCATTTTAATTTGATGAATGATATATCCTTTGGTTAGTTTATGCATGTTTGCAAAAGGTAGACTCTAATGCTATATATACCTCACGAGAGACACACGCAGAGATGGGGTTCTTAACAGACTAACAGACAGACAGACAGAAACACACACACATTGTACATACATATGTATTTACAATTTATTTTTACATTTCAACCATGAAACGAATAAGTGAAGGAATACACACTATATAAACCTGTAAAACCCAGCACGCACCTGCAACACACGCACTCACATACAAATCTGTATATTCTACACACTCCCAAAGTGTTACGCGCACGCAAAATGAGCAAATGGGTATGGGCATGTATGTATTTACACATATATACACATATATAACGTGACCAGACCCAGCATTAGAACTGAATTATTATAAGTAGATTAAGAAATGTTAAATGATGATGAATGTGAATAATGAATGTACAAATTAGTCACAACTACGTATGTACACTTGAAAAAAAAAACAGAGAGATGGAGAAATGAGCAAAAAATATGTGTACTAACTACAAACGTATATATTCAAAGCAATGTGAGAGTTGAAACGTCAGAGAAAAAATGGCCCGAAAAAAGCTTTCGGAAAAAGAAAAAGTAGTAGGCGTAGTAGTAGAGTGTAGGGCAAGGAGAAGAAGAAGAAGAAAAAAAAAATAGAATAAGAATTAGAGGAAGTAGAAGAAAAAGTAGAAGTAGAATAAGAATAAGAGGAAGTAGAAGAAGAAGGGAAAGTAGAAGTAGAAGAAGAAGAGAAAGAAAGTAAAATAAGAAGCGTGTACAAGAAGAAGAAGAAAAAGCAAATGAAGAGGAAAGTAAAATAAGAAGGAAGTAGTAGAAGTAGAACCAGAAGTAGAAGAAGAGAGAAGACGAAGAACAAACAGGAAGAGCCCCAGAAGAATCCCCACGAAATCAGAAACTACCGCGGGAATATACCTGGGAGGGAAGTATTCTGGTCCAAAGACACGCTCATGCAGGCTGTTTGATCAACATGTTTCATTCACGTCGGATCAAGTCCACAAGATGCCAGGAAAGGGAAAGGAAAGATGTCAACAAATGAACTTCTAGAAGTCTAAGCACTCAAAGGACACCTATGATGTCACTTGCTGAGATTATTTCATATAGAACAGATCATATATTAGAGAGAATATTTACATATATAGACACACACGCATATATATATAAAGACTATATATATGGAAATACAGAAACCACCATTTTCAAATGACAGTCAAAGGGTTAGATTTATTGAGATTTTATAGATATATATATTTTTCGTTTTCAAAATGCTGTAGAAGCTTTGAGCAACAGCATACAATGCTTGGATAAAAGCTGGGAGGTATTAATGTTAACTTCTGCATGCCCACTTAGTAATATAACAGGTACCTGCTTCCATTGTTGTGTTTCCATCTCCGACTATTGCTCTGACAATAAATAATCAAACGCATGCAAGAAGCTAAAATATCAATAGATGTGCACACGAGGAAATTGCAGTCACTTGTGTACCGTTTTGTGGATCAAACAGGATACCGTCATATTTTTTCAGTTAAAGGGAGTGAAGGTTGGGATTTTTTGTGAGAAGGAAGTTGTTAATGCAAAGGGTGACATACACGGGGCATGTGCCGTATAAGAGAATGATTATAAGAAAGTATAAAAAAAGAAGCAAAATAATAAAACACAAAATAATGTTATCAACATATTACCCGAAAAAATATGCACTGAAAAAATTCCTTCCTATGAGCATTTTGCTTTTAATGGTAAACTGGGTGACCAGCGTCCACCATGAGGAACACCCGTAAACAGGCCTACGGCAGATGGTAGCTGCGAGGGTTCTTTATCAGCAGTTTAGTGTATGGTAACACCTTCGTCAGCACCAACGGAACCAACACCAAGAGTAGCAACAGCAGCAGTCATATCAGCCACAGCACGAAACTCGCCAGACCTCTTGCCCCCAAGCAGCTAATCTCTCTACATAACACCGGCCACGTGGAGGGAGCTGACGGATCGGCGCATTCACAAAACTACGCGAGGAGTCATTCATTGTGAAAGCTACAGTAACTTTTTTTTCTCTTTATCTGCAAATATCTCTACTTGACTGAGTTAAAATATTAAAAAAAAAGAAAACACTTGACAGCTTCATAAGGTCATAAGATTAGTAAGAAAGTTCACAACTTTGTACAGAAGTAGAAAACGAGGAGAAATAAGTCAGCAGTGAACACTACAGCCCCGCAACCCCCCTGTGTTATCTCCCCTCTCCCTTCGCTCGGCCTGATCTGAGGTACAAAGTGATCCCTTGCAGTGAGTGTGACCGTCTGGTGCCTCCACGCGCGCCGGCCGGGTGAGCGGGTTTACCTGATATCATCCCGGGTGTCTGTGGACACCTGGGGGGCCTCATCCTCCTCGTTGTCGAGGGAGTCGTGGCTGATGGTGAAGGTGGAGGCGGGGGGGTTTCGCTGGTCGAGGTCAGTGCCGCCCACGCCAGAGTCACTGTCGCTTACCATGGCCATCCTCTCGCTATGGTCTAGGTCGTTGTCCACGCTGTGAGACCCAGCCGTTACCAGGAATACCATAGTTACCAGGGTACCAGGATTACCAGGGTACCATTACTAGGGCCTTACATTTACTTGGGCACCAAAGTTACTTTGGAATCACGATTACAGGAAAACTGCCAATAATCTGATGTAATATTTTGGAAATCGGTAATAGAGCTATCATCTTGGAACACTAAAAATAACCAGGGATATAACGGTCTTTGGTGTCAAAGTACCATTAGTTACAAGGAATACCAAAGTATGCATAGTACCTATGAATGCTTAAGGTGTTCATGGTAACCAGGAGTAACCAAGGCCATTTGGATGTGTTCTGTGAGGTTTTATGTTGGAGAAAATCATATCCTAAACAGGAATACCAACGGTAACATGAACAAACGCCTCAACTTATTTGCAAAAGTGAATGACCACATCTGGCGGTAGAGACCCTGCGGAAGTCAAAGGCATTGGGGTGGAATCCGGATGACAAGGAGAGCAGACTAAGCACAACTTTCTTGAAATCCATTATGAAGATCCGGGACTCTTAAGGGACTCTACGATATCTGTTGTGACCAAGTTATCTGAAGCTACAGTTACCATGGACACCCGAGTGTATTCGTGAAGGACTGTCTGCCTGGAGTTCAGGCTTCTGAAAAATACCATGGACATATGGCTGTCTAGTTACCAGTCATAACAGCAATTATTTAGTTACTGTGAACATCAAAACACACACAGATGCTTGGAATACCATGGTATTCACGCTAGTTGTAAAAGAAAGGTGTATATATACACAATATACCTTGAATGCTACGCCATCCATAGCTAACACGAAAATCAGCTTATTGAGTTTAACGGACGCTGCAGTTGCCAAGAATACATAAGTATTCGCTAATAACATAATTTTGGCCTGGATATCCATAATCACCATGAATAAAGAACTTTCCAGGCGTGTTGAATGAATACCAAAATATTTTTGATCATGTAAAAGTTCAAATTATGCTGTCCGTGGTTTATCAAAGGTATTTTGATTAATGAAAACCGATTTAGAAGAATCCTGTTGATGACCTATAAATGGAGGTTTCTTTTTTATTGAAAAACTTCCATCATGGTGTTCTTTATCCTACTGAACTCTACTGAATACCGTCCTGCTGTGCTTAACTAAATGTGAAATAAAAAAGAAAATAATAAGTACAAACTGATATAATTTATAATTTACCTATAAAGCCTATCACAGAGCGCTTGTGGGGTTCCCATAGAATAACTATGCACTACTTTTTTCCTAAACTTGAATTATAAAGTAACCAAAAATTGTAAATAATAATAATAATAATAATAATAATGATAATAATAATAATAATAAAAATGAAAGAATGTTCACACCCGATATATTACAGTTCTCATGGGGGTGAAATCATGAATTAATCACAAAAATAAAGCAGATAGTGGACAGCAGTACATAGCTGCAGCCTTGGTAAGCTTGTTGCTGTATTTGCTGTGTGTGTGTGTGTGTGTGTGTGTGTGTGTGTGTGTGTGTGTGTGTGTGTGTGTGTGTGTGTGTGTGTGTGTGTGTGTGTGTGTGTGTGTGTGTGTGTGTGTGTCAGTGTCCGTGTTTGCGTGTGTTTTGTGTGTGTTTGCGCGTGTTTAGTGTGAGTATGTGTGTTTATGTGTGCGCGTGTCTGTGTGAGTGTGCGTGTGTGCGTTTCCGTGTGCATGTCAAAGGCCCTTGGCGACCAGGGCTGATCACCACATGTAGCCTACAGGGTGTGTCAAAAAGATACGAGTTGTCGTGGGTTCACCAAAACAGGTCTTAAGTGATTGATCTAATCGAAGTTCTGCGGAAGGAAGGTCTCGGATAAAAAATCTCTAGACAAGATAAGATTACCACAAATATAAAAGGAAATCTGGAGAGTAAATGCATCAGAACACAACTGGGGGGTATGGAGTTATCGTTAAAAAACAATACTGCAATTACAGATGTACATTCTTCTAAGCCTTGCAGGAGTAAAATCACATTCACTAGAGTACCGTGAAAAAAATATATATTCTTGGAAATAGAGCATGCAAACTAGTCGATCTAGCAAGCTAAGACTCACCTTGGTTCAACTAAACCGACATAGCGCGGTCGCAAGCAAACCGAGCGGACGCGTTCACCAAGAGGGGGTTTGGTGGAACGGCACCAATGTGAAACGATGGCTCTCCCGCGGCCAAGTGCCTCGAGTACCTCAGGTAGATGTGTCACCTCTCTTTTTTAGGGGGGGGGGCTTTGATTAGTACGTCTGACACTTACTTTTTGGTGTGCGTGCGGGATAGTTATGTGCTCTCCGATTGGCATTTCGACATGTATCGGGTGTAGACGCCAAGTGTGTGGCTGCCCGTATGCCTCCAGGCGCGGACCCGCGCGCTGGAAGCATAGGCGCAGCAGAGAGTCCAGGAAAGGTCTGGTCATGCTTGTGAGTGTGAGTGTGGGGCGTGTATACATACAAAAAAGGACATGTAAGGTTCTACAGGAGATGTGAGTTCTGATATGTACATGGCCCTCAGCGTCATGGCGGGTCAGGGCCAGGCGCCGGGAGATGCCACAGTCCACTATGGCCGACGTTCCGGGTGTTGCTGGCTACCTCACTACATCCCTGACGTTCAGCCTGGCTGCCCTCTCGCTCTCTCTCCTCTGCCTCCTCCCCTCACGCTCTCACTCAAACCCTGGCCTCCGAAGCCCCTCCCTCCCCTTCCTACCACCCGCCCCCGCAACGTCTCCCCCTCCCACACCCCCGCCCCTTGCCCGCCCTCGCCTCCCAGGAAGCCGCAGTCGCTCACCTCACGTCCCCTCTGACGCCGCCGACGCAGGTGGGGTCGGTGAGCTCGGGGTCCAGCACGTACAGGTCCTCCGTGCAGATGTCGGTGACGTAGTGGAGGTGCTCCTGGGCACGGTCGATGCGGAAGAACCTCTCCGCCGTGCACGCTGGAACGGAAGGGTCAAGGGTCAGTTCTCAGGGACATTTGCGAAGGGCGCCACGAAGAGCAAAGTGCTGACCCGGGCACGCCCTTCGGAATTCAGAGGTTCAGAGCCCGAGGTAATAACCAAACACTGTGTTTTGCGAACTAACATCGGCGAGAGAAACTATACAAAGGAATTGTAGATTATCGGCAACTAGAAGTTTCTTCGGGTATGTCATTTTGACTAATATATTGTGTGCGTATATGTGTGTGTGTGTGTAAATATGTTTACCAATAAGTTTCTGTGTATATAAGAATAAATGTCGGTTTATAAATGTGTGTGTGTGTGTGTGTGTGTGTGTGTGTGTGTGTGTGTGTGTGTGTGTGTGTGTGTGTGTGTGTGTGTGTGTGTGTGTGTGTGTGTGCGCAAATACAAATACACACACACGCACACACATATAAAATCGCAATTAGTCTTCCTGTCATTTTGCCAATGTAACGATCACCTTTATAGTTTCAATTAAACACACTTCAATTAACAGTATAGTAACGAATGCAATAAACAAATCAATAAATAAATATTGTAAAATAATGCGAAAATCAGAAAAGGCAAAACACGGCAAATAATATTAAGGAGAAAATGCGAAATAGAGTCTGAAAGTGACGAGGAACTAAGGGAATATATAAAGAGAATATATATATATATATATATATATATATATATATATATATATATATATATATATATATATATATATATACATAGCGAGAGAGAGATATAGAGATAGATATGTGTAGATAGATAGATAGATTGAGAGAGAGAAAGAATGAGAGAAAAATAACGAGAGCGAAATATATATATATATATATATATATATATATATATATATATATATATATATATATATATATATAGATATATAGAGAGAGAGAGAGAGAGAGAGAGAGAGAGAGAGAGAGAGAGAGAGAGAGAGAGAGAGAGAGAGAGAGAGAGAGAGAGAGAGAGAGAGAGAGAGAGAGAGAGAGAGAGACAGAGACAGAGAAAAACAGAGAAAGACAGAGAGAAAAAAAGAAAGAGAAAGAAAGAAAGAGACAGACAAACAGAAAAAGTAAACACAAAAGAAGAAGAATAAGAAAAAGAAAAAGAGGAAGAGGAAGAGAAAGAGAAGAAACGAAAGCTAACATGAGAAAATGCTAAGGAAAGAAAGAAAAAAGAAAAAGAAAGAGAGAAAGAGCGAGAGAGAGGGAGCGGGAGAGAGAGAGAGAGAGAGAGAGAGAGAGAGAGAGAGAGAGAGAGAGAGAGAGAGAGAGAGAGAGAGAGAGAGAGAGAGAGACAGAGAGAGAGAGACAGAAAGAGAAAGACAGGAGAAAAACAGAGAAAAGGGGAGAGAGAAAAAAAAGAGAGAGAAAGAAAGAAAGAGACAGACAAACAGAAAAAAAGTAAACAGAAAAGAAGAAGAAGAAAAAGAGGAAGAGGAAGAGAAAGAGAAGAACCGAAAGCAAACAAGAGAAAACGCTGAGGGCCGATCCTTCAAGCAAAGAGACGCCCTCGCTCTGGCGCCCTTCCAGAAAATGCCCTTAAGGAGGAGGTGCTGGTGTGGGAGGCGCAGAAGGGGGGGGGGGAGGCGAAGGAGGAGGGGGGGAGGCGCAGAAGGAGGGGGGAGGGAGGCGAAGGAGGGGGGGAGGCGCAGGAGGGAGTGGAGGAAGGCTGAAGAAGGGAGGGGATAAGAGGGGGAAAGAAGAGGGAAGAGAAAGGGGGGAGAAGAGGGAAAAGAGAGGGGGAAAAGAGAGAAAAGAGAGGGGGAAGAAGTGGGAACGAAGGAGAAAGAAGGCGTGAAAAAGGGAAAGAGTGTGAAATCAGAGGAATGGGAGAGAGAGAGAGAGAGAGAGAGAGAGAGAGAGAGAGAGAGAGAGAGAGAGAGAGATAGAGAGAGAGAAAGAGAGAGAAAGAGAGAGAAAGAGAGAGAAAGAGAGAGAGAGAGAAAGAGAGAGAGAGAGAGAGAAGAAATTTCAAAACGGGAGAGGGTGAGTGCGCGCGTTTGTGAGGTGGGGGTGGGGGTAGGGGGGGAGGAGTGAAGCCGCTTGCATTAAGACACGACCGCCACCTCCAGCCACGTCGTTGAAATTCTTTGTAGGCCTATGCGAGTGTTGTTCTTATCTGTTCCCGCGGGCGATGCATCACTTCTTACACCCCCCTTCCCCACACGCACGCATGCACACACACACACACACACACACACACACACACACACACACACACACACACAACTATACATGTATATAGTCTATGTATATTCACTCATAAATATGATTTAAAAAAAAAATCCACATATATGTACAAAAGCCTAATCTCTTTCCCTCCACGAACTAGCAAAGAAAGTTTGTTGGTTTATTTTCGTATTTCTTTCCGCTTTTTTATCTCTACCCACAGGCAATGCATCACTTTTAACAGACGCGTTGTACACACATGCACATGTATAGAACACACACAAACATCTACGCAGAAAGAATCAAATACATGCACTCTCCCTCCGCCCTCCCTCTCTTTCTTTCTCTCTCTCGCTCCTTCTCTCCGTCCCCCTCTCCTCCTCTCTCTCTCTCTCTCTCTCTCCGTCCCCCTCTCTTTCTCTCTCCGTCTCCCTTCTCTTCCTCTCTCTCTCTCGCTCTCGCTCTCGCTCTCTCTCTCTCTCGCTCTCTATCTCTCTCTTCCGCTCTCTCTCTCTCTCTCTCTCTCTCCGTCCCCCCTCTCTTCCTCTCCCTCCCTCCCATTCCCCCCCCCCCTCTCTAACACCATAAACATCACCTCTCATCCACATCGCCCATTAATCGGCCATGCAACAAACGCAACATCGAGGAGAGAGAGAGAGACCGGCGTCGCTTCATCGTTGCCAACCCCGCAAAAAAAAAAATCCTTCAGGAGGAGACATGCTGACGGCTGACTTTCGAGCAGGTCAAGCGCTGGTGTCTGGCTACGTTGCATCATTGCGTTATAGGTTGCGGCGGGGAAGTGGGAGGGGGATGGAGGGGAGGGGAAGGGAGGGGAAGGGGGTGGAGGTGAGAGGGAGAGGGGAAGTGGGATGGGGGTGAGGGGAAGGGAGGGGAGGGGAGGGGAGGGGAGGGGAAGGGAGGGGAAGGGGTGGAGGTGAGAGGGATAGAGGAAGTGGGAGGAGGGTGGAGGGGAGGGGAGGGGAGGCGCGGGGAGGGGAGGGGAAGGGGGTGGTGAGAGGGAGAGCGATAGGGGAAGTGGGAGGGGGTGGAGGGGAAGGGAGGGGAGGGGAGGTGGAGGGGAAGGGAGGGGAAGGGGTGGAGGTGAGAGGGATAGAGGAAGTGGGAGGAGGGTGGAGGGGAGGGGAGGGGAGGCGCGGGGAGGGGAGGGGAAGGGGGTGGTGAGAGGGAGAGCGATAGGGGAAGTGGGAGGGGGTGGAGGGGAAGGGAGGGGAGGGGAGGTGGAGGGGAAGGGAGGGGAAGGGGTGGAGGTGAGAGGGATAGAGGAAGTGGGAGGGGAGGGGGGAGGGGAGAG